ATGTCGTCAGTATTTATGGTTGAATTTCACGGTGCTTGTGTCTTCCGAGGGTACCAGAGCCTCGCGCCTAAACCAGTCAACACACACCCCCACGTTATGGGTGGTAAGCGCGGATTGGAGAGGGTGATTGTCGGCCTTATGAACAGCACGGGTGGAGACCGTTCTGGGAGGGAGCAGGAGGGGACCAAGCCTTCGTAGATACTGATGGAGAGGGGGGGAGGGAGGGGGCGTGGGGTGAGTGCTGGGGTGGGGAGCAGTGGGGGGGGGGGGTGAGGTGTGTCAGACAGGTACTGAACACCAGTACACAATCCTCATAATATTCAAGTCACTTGTGTTCTCCCGTCTTGAGTACTGCTCAGTACTCACTCCCCCCCTTCAGAGCAAGAGAGATTGCTGAAATAGAGGGAATACAGAGAACATATACGGCATACATAGACGCGATAAAGCACCTAAATTATTGGGATCGTCTCAAAGCTCTCCAAATGCACTCACTAGAAAGGAGACGAGAGAGATACCAAATAATATACACGTTGAAAATACTGGAAGGACAGGTCCCAAATCTACACAGTAAAATAACAACATACTGAAGTGACATGTATGGCACAGTTCCAGCCCCGCTCCTGTGTCAGGTTAGTTCACTACGGGCTCGCCATAGCCCGTGCTACTTAAACAAATTTTGTTCCGAATAGGTGAATCTAAAAAAAATTACGACAATAACAGATACGGAAGGAAATGGAGGATAGAACCAGTGGGAAGTAGAGGTGCCATAGACACAATGTGAGGGAGTAGGTCTACCGCTGTGACCTACTCCCCTGGTGTTGACCAGGGATCCCCTAGTGGGGGGTCCCTGCCCCTGCTTCGCCCTCACCTTGTGGCCTGCCCCCCCTGCCCCGCCCCCTCCAGACAGATGCCAAAGGTCGTGACTGGAGATGACAGTTCACCTGTTGGGGTTAAAAGTGGTATCCCAGATGTAGCCCACCTGGCTACAGGTGCCCCACACCATACCCACCTGGCCTCAGGTGCCCCACACCATACCCACCTGGCCTGGGGTGCCCCACACCATACCCACCTGGCCTCAGGTGCCCCACACCATACCCACCTGGCCTGGGGTGCCCCACACCATACCCACCTGGCCTCAGGTGCCCCACACCATACCCACCTAGCCTGGGGTGCCCCACACCATACCCACCTAGCCTGGGGTGCCCCACACCATACCCACCTGGCCTCAGGTGCCCCACACCATACCCACCTGGCCTGGGGTGCCCCACACCATACCCACCTGGCCTGGGGTGCCCCACACCATACCCACCTGGCCTCAGGTGCCCCACACCATACCCACCTGGCCTCAGGTTACCTTATAAGTGACACTGGTAGTCAATAATTGCTTGCGTGTGTGTTGTAGCGAGGTGGCCGTTAGCCGAAGTCTTCGTGCGTGTAGGAGGAGGCGTCTCACCTCATGAAGTTGCCTTAGTTAGTCTCCTCACACCTCACCCCCTCACACCTCTCACCCCCCCCCCCTGGGAGATAGTGAGCACACTTGCACTACTCCCCACCGATTCCATTACTCCTCGAATTGCAGACATTTGGATGCAATGTGTGCAACCAGAGATTAACATAAGCACACACACACACACACACACACACACACACACACACACACACACACACACACACACACACACACAACACACACACACACACACACAACAGTGCTTCCGGTTTGAACAATAAGACAACAGACTCACACTCACATATCCGGAAAGAATAGAATTAGTGGCCCTTTGGTCCGCCCTGAACCATTGTGTAAAGAGAGAGATAGAGACCATACCTGGACCATACCTGGAGAGGGTTTCAGGAGCTCTTCTACTCCTGGATAAGGAGTGCAAGAGAAAACCAATGTATAAGAACAGAATAGTGTTTCTAAAGAAGCGTAGGGGCTGGGGCAGGTAGGGCTTCTATTGGGTGGTCCTCCTCCCACTGGGGATGTTGAACTGCCTGTGGAGGGTTCCCCACTCCCTTCTGGGATCGAAGGGTATACAGAGAACATATACGGCACGCATAGACGCGATAAAGCACCTAAATTATTGGGATCGTCTCAAAGATATCCAAATGTACTCACCAGAAAGGAGACGAGAAAGATACCAAATAATATATACGTGGAAAATAATGGAGGGCCAGGTCCCAAATTTACACAGTAAAATAACAACATACTGGAGTGAACGATATGGAAGAAAATACAGAATAGAACCAGTGAAGAGCAGAGGTGCCATAGGCACAATCAGAGAACACTGTATAAACATCAGAGGTCCGCGGTTGTTCAACGTCCTCCCAGCGAGCATCAGAAATATTGCCGGAACAACCGTGGACATCTTCAAGAGAAAACTAGATAGTTTTCTCCAAGGAGTGCCGGACCAACCGGGCTGTGGTGGGTATGTGGGCCTGCGGGCCGCTCCAAGCAACAGCCTGGTGGACCAAACTCTCACAAGTCAAGCCTGGCCTCGGGCCGGGCTTGGGGCCAGTAGACGAACTCCCAGAACCTCATCTAAGTAGAATCGAGGTAGCTCTCTAGTCAACTCCTTAGCGATGGAGGGCCAGGGGGCGGAGACCCACCAGGCCGCACGGACACAAGTCAATGAGAATTCTGGCCAGTGACAGCGAGGGAGGCGGTCGTGACCTCGTGGGGGGGCGGAGGTCACGTATCTCTGCTCGCTTGTTTTTCAATATATCGAGTTGAGTCGTGCGGGGAGGGGGGAGGGGGACGGTGAGGGGGGGGGTTACAGTTGAGGTAATAATAGGGTTGATAAGACAGGTCAAATGGGGGGGGGGTTAATGACCCCCCCCACACATTCCAGGAGACCCCCAGGTCACCTCCCAGGGGGGGGGAGAGATATCTCTAGTATCTTGTTATAATTGATGAGTTTAGCGACTGTTGTATTCTACGCGCCATGACAGGTTTATACATTATACATTGCCCCGAGGGGCAAGGGGGTTTATACATTATACATTGCCCCGAGGGGCAAGGGGGTTTATACATTATACATTGCCCCGAGGGGCAAGGGGATTTATACATTATACATTGCCCCGAGTGGCAAGGGGGTTTATACATTATACATTGCCCCGAGGGGCAAGGGGGTTTATACATTATACATTGCCCCGAGTGGCAAGGGGGTTTATACATTATACATTGCCCCGAGGGGCAAGGGGGTTTATACATTATACATTGCCCCGAGGGGCAAGGGGGTTTATACATTATACATTGCCCCGAGGGGCAAGGGGGTTTATACATTATACATTGCCCCGAGGGGCAAGGGGGTTTATACATTATACATTGCCCCGAGGGGCAAGGGGGTTTATACATTATACATTGCCCCGAGGGGCAAGGGGGGTTTATACATTATTTAATCAGCTCACAGAGCCACAAAGTAGATTAAAGAGGGAAGGGCGTTATCAGGAGAAAGCGGAAAGCCATGACGACTATATAGCACTGGGACGGTTATCTTGAGGTTATCTTGAGATGATTTCGGGGCTTTAGTGTCCTCGCGGCCCGGTCCTGACGTGTCACGTGTTACCCTGGGGACCCGACCCTGGGGGCCTGACCCTGGGGACCTGACCCTGGGGACCTGACCCTGGGGACCTGACCCTGGTGGGAGGCTGGTAGCGGCGAGCCTGTTGTGTGAGGCAGCTGGCCGGCTGGACGGTGTGACGGCAGGTATTGTTGCATATTGATCGTTAGAGGGGAAGGTATTATCCCCTGCATTCATCAGGAACATTACAGTGTGGTGGCGTGTGTTAGTGAGCGTGCTCTCTCTCTCTCTCTCTCTGTCTCTGTCTCTGTCAGAGACAGAGACAGAGAGAGGAGAAAGCAAAAATTGAAACTGGAAAAGTCGAGAGATATGCAACAAAGTGTTCCCCAGAGCACGACTTCCTCCACAAGAACGAATAACTTAGAGAACTTCTCGCCTGGCTGGAGAAGAGAAGACTCACGGGAGATATGATAACAACGTACAAAATACTAAGACAAATTGACAGAGTGGACCGAGATAAAATAGAAATAGAGACTACTGGTGGAAAGATAACAGGAAGAACTCCGCTATTATAACTGATAAATAATATGTTGACCAGACCACACACTAGAAAGTGAAGGGACGACGACGTTTCGGTCCGTCCTAGACCATTCTCAAGTCGCCTGTGATGATGGAATGTTGTTGTTGTTGTTGTTTTAGATTTAGCTACTCAAAACGAAATGTCCAAGTAGCACGGGCTATGGTGAGCCCGTAATCTCCTCCCTCCTTCCTGCTCTGTTTTTGTATATCCTTTCCCCTCCACCTCTCTTGCCCCCACCACTTCCCTTCACATTGAGGGGGGCTGCTTCTGCTGTGGCTGCTGCTCCAGCTGGAGCTACCCTTGCTGCTGACTGTGGCTGCAGGCTGTGGGTGCTGGCTGTGGCTGCAGGCTGTGGCTGCAGGCTTTGGGTACAGGCTGTGGCTGCAGGCTGTGGGTGCTAGCTGTGGGTGCAGGCTGTGGGTGCTGGCTGTGGGTGCTGGCTGTGGCTGCAGGCTGTGGCTGCAGGCTGTGGCTGCAGGCTGTGGCTGCAGGCTGTGGCTGCAGGCTGTGGGTACAGGCTGTGGGTGCTGGCAAGTATTTCACTCACAAGGAGTGAACATGTCGGAATACAACCCCCAACCCTACAACATACACACCAAGGTCAACAAGGCGGGGGTCCAAGAGCTATAACTCCTCGCTCGTGCAGGCACAATGGTACAGGCACCACACAGGTGCACCGTAGCACACCCACGGTACACCCATGGTACAATTCACAATATGGGAGAACTGTACTAACTCTACACGGGTCTCTGATGGGAGTGATGTAGTGATGCTACATATAATTATTATTGAATGCTGATTATATATAATTCCTGTTGCTGATAATCAGTATCTAATAAATCCCGTTATCATTTCTAGCATGTCTTAACGAGCCTGTGTATCCTGTTCTCCCCCAGGGGCGTGATGACTAGTGAGGTGGAGATCGGCGTGTGGGTGGAGGGCGTACAGAAGTGGGTGACGGGTGTTACGCGGAGGACGACCTGCCACGACCTGGTCAAGGCGCTACTGAGGGCGCAGCCGGGGGCGGCCCGCGCTGACGACGGCGACGTCATGCACTACGTCATCGTTGAGCGCTGGCGCAAAGTGGAGAGACCGCTGGATCACGAGCAGCGCATTCTGAAGGTAAGTTGCCCATTGTGGGAGGGGTGTGTGTGGGTGGGTGCTGTGGGAGGGTGTGTGGGGGTGTTGATGGAGGGTGTGGGGGTGCTGTGGGAGGGTGTGGGGGTGCTGTGGGAGGGTGTATGGGGGTGCTGGGGGAGGGGTGTGTGGGGGTGCTGGGGGAGAGTGTGGGGGTGTGCTGTGGGAGGGTGTGTGGGTGCTGGGGGAGGGGTGTAGGGTGCTGTGGGAGGGTGTAGGGTGCTGTGGGAGGGTGTGGGGGTGCTGTGGGAGGGTGTGGGGGTGCTGGGGGAGGGTGTGGGGGTGCTGTGGGAGGGGTGTAGGGGTGCTGGGGGAGGGGTGTAGGGGTGCTGGGGGAGGGTGTAGGGTGCTGTGGGAGAGTGTGGGGGTGCTGGGGGAGGGGTGTAGGGGTGCTGTGGGAGGGTGTAGGGGTGCTGTGGGAGGGTGTAGGGTGCTGTGGGAGGGTGTAGGGGTGCTGTGGAAGGGTGTAGGGGTGCTGGGGGAGGGTGTAGGGTGCTGTGGGAGGGTGTAGGGTGCTGTGGGAGGGTGTGTGGGTGCTGGGGGAGGGTGTAGGGGTGCTGGGGGAGGGTGTAGGGGTGCTGGGGGAGGGTGTGGGGGTGCTGGGGGAGGGTGTATGGGGGTGCTGGGGGAGGGGTGCGTGGGGGGTGCTGGGGGAGAGTGTGGGGGTGTGCTGTGGGAGGGTGTGTGGGTGCTGTGGGAGGGTGTGTGGGTGCTGGGGGAGGGGTGTAGGGGTGCTGTGGGAGGGTGTAGGGTGCTGGGGGAGGGTGTAGGGTGCTGTGGGAGGGTGTAGGGGTGCTGGGGGAGGGTGTGGGGGTGCTGGGGGAAGGTGTAGGGGTGCTGGGGGAGGGTGTGGGGGGTATATACACCTTTCGCAAGCGGAGAAAATGAATCTCAGATGAATCTTGGTCCTGGCCTCCTGAAGTAGCTCTTCGCTGAAGCTGTAAGTTGTTTCCGCAGGTGTGGCGGACGTGGGGCGAGGCGGTGGGCGAGGTCCGCTTCTCCCTCCGGCGGGTGCGGGATGACGAGGCCGCAGGCGACAACAACAGCAGCTGCGGCAGGCCCGAACGAAGCAGGAGACGCCAGAAATGGCGACATATCCACGGCTCCAAGGAGGCCCTTCACCCGAAGACCCTGGCCAGAGAGGACCACAAATTCAGGTAAGAGAGAGAGAGAGAGAGAGAGAGAGAGAGAGAGAGAGAGAGAGAGAGAGAGAGAGAGAGAGAGAGAGAGAGAGAGAGAGAGAGAGAGAGAGAGAGAGAGGAGAGGTGGGGAATTAGCCGAGGGAAGGAGAGAGATAAAATGAGTAAATATGTACTGTATATATGTATGTGTATATATATATATGCGTGTGTGTGTGTGTATATATGGTTCACCTTACAGGGGAGCCATAGTCGGGGACAGGAAGCCTGCAAGATTTATCAAGGTCTTCCCTTAGGCCAATTATTGATGATCTTTACCCTGGGATGTAACCCCCCCCCCCCCACACAACAGTTTCCTCAGTCACCGGTACCTGCTTACTGCTAACAGAACAGAGGCATTAGGTGAAAGGGGTGCAAAGGAAACATACCCAACCGTCTCTGTTCGGCATGAATCACACACACACACACACACACACACACACACACACACACACACACACACACACACACACACACACACACACACACACACACACACACACATGAGGGGACATGGGTGGAAACTGGAAACTCAGATGAGTCACAGAGATGTTAGGAAGTTTTCTTTTAGCGTGAGAGTAGTGGGAAAATGGAATGCACTTCGGGAACAGGTTGTGGAAGCAAACTCTAATCATACTTTTAAAATTAGGTATCATAGGGAAATAGGACAGGAGTCATTGCTGTAAACAACCGATGGCTGGAAAGGCGGGATCCAAGAGCCAATGCTCGATCCTGCAAGGACAAATAGGTGAGTACACACACACACACACACACACACACACACACACACACACACACACACACACACACACACACACACACACACACACACACACACACACACACACACAAAATCACACACACACACACACAAAATCACACATTGACGGTTGAGAGGCGGGACCAAAGAGCCACAGAGCTCAACCCCCGCAAGCACAACTAGGTGAGTACAACTAGGTGAGTACAACTAGGTGAGTACAACTAGGTGAGTACAACTAGGTGAGTACACTAATTACCATAATGTAACTAAGCAAATGTTGACAAAAACACGCCCCAGAGATATTTCTGCTCCCAGTTGATTGGATACCTCTTTTATCGTGTTCTTTTGTGTGTGTGTTTATTTAATACGGTGATACATGATAGTGGACATGTGTCCACCACCATGGGAACAGGTAGCGCCACTAATGACCTCCTGGTGGTGGTCCTCCCACACCAATAACAACAGTGGACACAATGTATCGTTGGTTCAACCCCCGCTAGTTTTTTTTCAGATCCAGGGTTCGCATCTCTGTCGAGAAGTGAATAAGGTGTCAACAAGGGGTAAGGGGTGGGGGTGGGGTTAGTGTCGTAGGGTCGGTATTATAGTGGTGTAACATGGGGGTTCTCAACCATCCCAGCACGGGGAAGATGATCTGTTCGATTTGAAGTCATGCAATTAAGGACTGCTTATGTTTACACAGGTGAGTGCAGGAGGAGATGGTGATTCTCCTCTGTGTCTGCTTTCAGTGTTAATTGAAGGTGATTGTTCACAATCACCAACACGGGTGGTACCGTGTACTGTGTTAGAGACTCCTCGCACAGCTGGTAACCTGGCGTCATTCACAGTGTGCCTTGTTCAGATCTGATGAATGAATGAATGAATGAATGAATGAATGAATGAATGAATGAATGAATGAATGAATGAAAGAACGAATGAATCAAATTGTTGGTAGTGCCACCAACACAAAACCCAAATCATAGTTTTATTCGCAGTTTATCTTCCATTGTTTGCAAGGAAGAGCTTAGTTTGGAGAGAGAGAGAGAGAGAGAGAGAGAGAGAGAGAGAGAGAGAGAGAGAGAGAGAGAGAGAGAGAGAGAGAGAGAGAGAGAGAGAGAGAGAGAGAGAGAGAGAGAAAGGGAAAGAGAAAGAGAGATGAGGCTGGGTGTCGCTGCTCCCTCTGGCCAGCGTTACGCCACTCTCCACAAAAAACATCCCAGCTACTGTAGGCGCGCGCCAGAACAGGCAGCAGGTCGGACGTCCTGGCGGTGAAGGGCTCGCACTGACCAGATGCTACTCAACTCTTTATGCCATTCGTATTTATCTACCGTTGAATTATTCACTTGACTGTTTAATATGCTCGTGCCCCCTTACCTGGAGGACGGCAGGAATATACAGTTGAGGTTGGCTTGGGTTATATTAAGGGGGGAAAGTACGGTTTGTGTGTGTGTGTGTGGATGAAAATGTGGCAGCGTGCGCCAGTGCCAAAGTGAAGGGCCGCTGATGGTGGGCAGTGTAGCCAGGTGGCACATTCACCTGGGCCACAGTCAGCTTGTGTAGTGACGAGGGGAGGGACCTGGCGCTGACCGGGAGACGACCCATCTTACCAGTGACCTGTGCGACGGAAGACGACCCCCATCTTACCAGTGACCTGTGCGACGGAAGACGACCCCATCTTACCAGTGACCTGTGCGACGGAAGACGACCCCATCTTACCAGTGACCTGTGCGACGGGAGACGACACTTGCATCGGACGTCGGACGACCACCCGGACGACCCCTGTGGGTCCCAACCACCGCCCAACACACAGGACCCTCTGAGTTCTCTTCACATCGGCTCAATCAGACTTTTTCTCTCGTTTGAATAGAAGTAGCGTGACATCTACACCGACATCAAAGCCTTAACTTTAACGGGAACACCTGGAACATTGACATATGTGACTTAATATGTAGCAGTGAGGGGGTTCTACGAACACTGGGTGCGTGGGAGCACACGCCTCAAGGCTGACCTTTCACCAGCTAAAGGCCATCAGACATATCAAACACGCTGGCAGGGAAAGTATCTCTGGCGACTAAAAACTTGTTTTGAAATTCAACTTGGGTGTTTATTAGCAAATGTCTAGACTAGTAACTAGTTTAGTGCCACGGCTGCCACTAACTGGGAGTCTGAGTACCACCTGGGAACAGTGGCAACTGGGGTCTGAGTACCACCTGGCAACAGTGGCAACTGGGGTCTGAGTACCACCTGGCAACAGTGGCAACTGGGGTCTGAGTACCACCTGGCAACAGTGGCAACTGGGGTCTGAGTACCACCTACCAACAGTGGCAACTGGGGTCTGAGTACCACCTACCAACAGTGGCAACTGGGGTCTGAGTACCACCTACCAACAGTGGCAACTGGGGTCTGAGTACCACCTGGCAAGTGGCAAAAACACAAAAAATTCAAATAACCTTAATTTTCTCGTATACATTAATATATATCCATTACAAAATATCCATTTTAGATGATTCAAACATAATTTGTATTGATATCACTTAACAGTTACGAAACATTTTGTTATTCTAGCTTGACTTGTGATAATTTACTTACAAAAAGACTTACAAATACCTGACAGAAGTGTAAGGTGTAGCAGGTTAGGGGCGAGTAGTACTAAGGTGTTCAGGGACCTTGACGTCTCCTTCCCTCTGGTGGGGACGTCTTGAGGGGTGAGGATGAGGTTCCTGAGGAGTGTGTGTCGGCCAGGGTGTAGAGGGTACTCTACACTCTCCGTCTTGATGCATTGTAAAAGGTATTATGTTGCTGCATCTTGTATTGCCTCTCTGTGTTCCTGCTTGCTTGTTCCTGCTGCTGCTGCTGCTGTCTGTGCTTTACTGGGGCTTCCTGTGTGTTGCTGCTGCCTGTGCTTTACTGGGGCTTCCTGTGTGTTACTGCTGCCTGTGCTTTACTGGTGCTTCCTGCTGCTGCTGCTGTCTGTGCAACACTGGGGCTTCCTGTGTGTTACTGCTGTCTGTGCTTTACTGGGGCTTCCTGTGTGTTACTGGTGCTGCCTGCTGCTTCACTGGGGCTGCTGCTCTGTGTCTGGGGCTAGCTGCACTTGGGCTGCTAGGGGCTGGGTTACCCCTTTACTGGGGCTTCCTGTGTGTTACTGCTGCCTATGCTTCACTGGTGCTTCTGTGTCCACTAGCGCCACTTGGGGTAGTGGGCCCCATACCCATCCTGTGGGGGGTAGTTGAAAGGTTAGGTACACAATGACCTCACAAACTGAAACCCAAAATGCATAATTTAAACAACAAATGGTTAAAACAAAAACCCAGCGCTAAAAACATCCACTTGGGACTAGAATATTTGGCAGAACAAAACATTACAATGTGGCAGTGATTTTGGTTACAGCTCTTATGTCAGTCGTGGAAATGACGAAGTCGTAACAGTGCTTGTAGGAGTGCGACTTGCTACAGTACCCCTCCCTGTCCAGCTGGTTGTTGAAGTGGAGGGGCTTGGTGGGCGGCTGCCGGAGTGTGATGCTCCTTAGGGCGGTCCCCTGTCCTTTTATAGCCTTGTGTTCCTGCTGCTGTCCTCACAAATTTTGCTGGATGCCTTTTAATTAATTTTCCTTTTGTTTCGTTTTTCTCCCCCCTCTTCGCCTTTCTCGTTGTCATTTCCTGCTGACCTTGTGGCTGTTTTGATCATTCCTTTTACCTTCTTTTGTTTTGACGCCCGGGTGCTTGAGGAGGCATACTCTTGCACCCGTAGAACTGTAGTACCTGACGTCTCGAGCGAGGGGAACCTTTTATTGTCAATCCTCCTTTCGTCACTGAACCCGATCTCGACAGACTGACGGTTCTTAAGGTGGCGTTTGTGGGGCGTATACCCACAATGCACCCCTAGGGAGCCCCGGCATGATCGGCGATAGCTTCTTGTTGGGTGCCCTGCCTCTAATTGTGGCTCCATGGTGGGTATGAGGGCACATTCGTGAATGAATGTTTTTCCTTTTTGTACCTATGTTGCATACTGTTCCTCTTTTACCTTCTCAGGCTCGTGGGGTGGGTGACCAAGCCCCTGAGTCGGATCGTGTTGGAAGACCGGGCTCTGTAGCCCCCGCTACATTGAGCCCCGACCTTGCGCCTCCTTTGACCTCTCTGACTACTCCCCTCGGCTCCCCTCCCTCCTCTGTAGTTGGGTCGAGCCCCAAGCCCCCAGTGGTGACCACCTCGTCCCCTGGCAC